TATTTTACTCTATTAATTTTACTCTCGAAGAGTAAAATATTATATAGTTTATTATTTATTAAAATAATATTTGATTGTTCCTAAAGAGCATAAATGATAATTTTCAATATTCTAAAATAATATTAACATATTACTTTCGAAAGAATAATAATAAAATAGAACGTGCCCTCGAAATAATACATATTTTGGAGAATATATCATATGTGCAATTTATGAATTTTGTGTTTATCCTTTAAGAAAAACATGTAACTCATGTCATGTGGATATCGATTCTTATATGATTATATCATAGTTAATCATTTTTTCCAGAATTAACTATGTCTGTTGTTTGATTGAATAGTTATTCAAATAATAAATATTGCATTGATCCTGGAGAATTGCAATTTTAATTAATTGCTTCCAAAGAAGCAATAGTTTATTCATATCAATATTCCTGAAGAATATTGTTTTGAGACTCTAGAAGATTCAATATTATGTGATATGAAGGGATAAACTTACTATTGCTAGTAATTTGTTCTCCACTAAATAAAAGAGAAATCTTCAAGTTTTTAATAGTGTTTCTTAATTGGTACACTATACTGAACTCTAGTGACTTTTTTGATAAATATTGAATTGAACCAGAAGTTTAATAACTTTTATATTTTATTATTTGGTATGTCCAATTAGACCGTAATTGGATCAATAATGATGCGAAATAAAAAATTCAAATGAGCATTTAACAAAGAACCAAAAGATTCTTCCATCCAAAGAATTCATATATGATGTATTAAAATTTATGTCATTGATTGTTGCTAGTTAAAATAGAGATTGAATTCTCTGTATTTCTGAAAATTTATTATGGTGACATATGGGACCATGTCACCCTCTACGTTGACTACCTGGATATTATTTGTATTTAATAGATTTAATACATGGGTGATTGTATGGTGTTCGTAACCTGAAATTTGAGAAATTACTTTTCAAATTTAAAATATAAGCATAATTATCAAATTACACAATCAAGATAGTGTGTATTGTTAATGCTAGTGATCCTTAATCTCAACATTTTGATAATTGTTAGTTGAGATATCGATAAATAGTTTAATACTATTACTTGTTAGACGCCTCCAATTAATTTAATTGAGAACAAAGTACTTCCTATTTTTTTTATTAGAGAATGTTATTAGCATTGTGCCAACATAATAATTCTCCTTGTTATAATTAGTTTATGGTCTAAACCTAATTTTATCATCTACTTATTTTTATAGTGTGGTATATGTAAAATTGATACATCACAATGTACTGTGCGTAATTTGAACTCTTATACCAAATGTGTGATATTTTATAAAGTAGTTTGTTGATTGTCAATTTGATTAAACAAGTCTCTCAGCATTAGGGGAAGAATTAAAAATTTGAAGATAATATACAAATTCACTATTATCTAAATCCTCACAAAAGATAATTCAAACAAGAAGTTCAAAAATAATTCATCTAGATGCATTTATTAACCAAAGAGATTAACAATATCTCACACACCAAATTTGAATGCTCCAAATCGAATTAAAGTTCTAGAGGACAATTAGTTAATATTTTATTCGATGGCATGCCTAAAACATGATGATATTTGATTATAACTGTGTTTGAGCCACATTATTTTGGAAGAATGTATTTTGGAATAGTAAATTGATGGAGAATGTGTTATTGAAAAAGAAGGAAAAGTTATTGATGTGATGGAAAATATTATTTTTATTGAAGAATGTGTGATTGAAAATGAGTAGAAGAATGAGAATGAAAATTTTAATGTGGCTCAAACATGGGATAAATAAA